GCAGATGACCTCCTCTCCTCCACCAGGGTCACCACACCTGGTACCAACTGCAGGCACAGATCTGAAGGCTCCACGTCAGCACACTTAGCCCTTCACTTTTAATCGTAGGGACGATTAAAAAACCAGTTACCATCCAGTCGACTCTGCTCATGACAATCCCATGTGTGCTCCATAGGGTTTTCAGTGGCTGATCTTTCAGATGCAGATTGCCAGGCCTTTCTTTTGAGGTGCCTCTAGGTGGATTCGAATTTCTAGCCTTTCAGTTAGCAGCTCAGTGCTTAACTGTTTGCGCCACCCAGGGAGTCCTAGAGACAATTACTACCCCATTTCACAGACGAGGGACCCAAAGCACAGAGAGGCTGAGAGACTTCCCCCAAGGTCAACCAGCGGCAGTGGTGGAGAGCTTTGACCCCAGGCAATGTGGCTGCAATATTAGTGTTCTGACCACTCTGCTACAGAGGCTCCAAGAGCCCAAGGGAAGCAAAACGGCCAATCTGTGGGCTCCAGACATTTCCACCTAAATTATAAGGGGGTGAGGGATAGTGTGTGTTCTCTTCCTGCATCTTTGAGGGCCATCTACAATCAGACAGCCGGCAGGGACCCAAAGGCGGATGGTGGCCTGCCCCAGATGGGCCTGTGCACGCCGGACAAGGCTCGCGCTGTGCAGAGGCTGCCTGTCACAGCAGCCAAGGGAGGGCAGGCTCAGGACCACAGGGCACCTGGGGGTGAGGGTGAGGATCCTGCTGCGCGTCCGATGTCATCTTAGAAACACCTGGCCTCTCTGTGCCAGTGACCAAACAGAGTCCACACCCTGTGCAGGCATCTGGCACTGGCAACTGCCTCTTCTAAGCTGGGCCTCTCTCAACCCAATTACATCTCATCATTCCCTACATCTGCAAGATCAAACCCAAGCTCCACAGGCAGGCACGCAGAGCCCCTGAGATCTGGTACTGATGCTCCGGCACCCCCAGGGGGCCCCCATACACCCATTAAGCAGTGCTATCTACCTGATGAACCCCTCAGGCCCTCCCCCTCCACTGACCCGCTGTGGCCCTACACAGGCTCACCCTGCAGGGCGCCAGTGCCCACCATATCCTTCTACTTAGCAAACAGGTCAGGCACGCTTCTCTGCAGGCACCAGGGACACCAGCTGTGCTTGACGCCAACCCCCAAGTGAAGAGACAATTGTTGCTGTTGTTGTTAGGTGCCATCGAGTCAGTTCCAACTCACAGTGACAACAGAACGAAACACTGCCCGGTTCTGTGCCATCCTCACAATCATTGCTGTGTCTGAGCCTACTGTTGGAGCCACTGTGTCAATCCATCTCACTGAGGGTCTTCCTCTTTTTCACTGACCCTTTACTTTACCAAGCACGATGTCCTTCTCCAGGGACTGATCCCTCCTGATAACATGTCCAAAGTACATGAGACGATGAAGAACTACAAACTTCCAAATGGTGAGAAGGAAAGTACAGTTATGAGGGCCTGGGACAGGAGCAGTGATGCCAGCTGGACATCAGGGAAGACAACCCTCAGGAAGGGGACCCTGAGCAAGGAGCTAAAGGCTGCCTGGGGGTAAGGGATGGAATTCCAGGCAGGGAACAGCTGTGCAAAGGCACTGAGGTGGGCAAGAGCTCAGAACTTGAGCAGTTGCTGTTGGAGGGCCAGCACAGCAAGCAGGGGGGTGGGGAGTGGGGTGAAACAAGATGAGGCTGGTGGGGAGGCCCCATGGGCGACATTAGGGAATCTGGTCTTTATGGTAACCACAGTGAGAAGGCATGTAACGTTTCTAAGCCAGGTGGTGCTGTGGTCAGATCTGTGTTTGTCCTAACTCATCACTCTGGGGGCTTGAGGGCAGTTCCTGGTCTGCCTGTGGGCCTCCGCTCCTGGGCTGGGAGGTTTCATCTGGCATCCCAGCCCCTGGACAGAGCTCAGCAAACAGTGTGCTACCGTGGGGTGACTCTCCTTGTGGGATGTGTTCAGACGGAGTCGGGGGGGACCATTTGTGAGGGGGGAACAATTATCGTTCTTCCAGCTAATCAGGCTAGGGTAGGGAGGGCATTCATTCAGACTCAAAGCTCCTTCTTCCAAGCCCAAACCCAAAAAAACCAAACCCACTGCTGTTGAATCGATTCCAACTCTAAGCCCAGTTTGGGGAAAACCCCAGGACAATCCACTAGACTGCTCCACGGGCCTCCTGGAAGCAACCACAGAGGCCCTTTGGGGCAATCCTGGGGCTGAATGGGCGGCAGAGTGGGAGGGCCACACTGATGTCACAGCGAGAAGGGCACACTGATGTCACAGCGAGAAGGGCATGCTGCTCCCGAGGAAGCTGTTTGAGAGGCCAGCCGGCCCCGGGGCCCCTGAGCACTGGGATAGGGATTCCCTCAGGCGGAGCCTCTGCCCACCCCAGCATGGCTCACCGCATGGGGAGGCCCCAGGACCTCTGCCCGGTCTGTTCACTGATAAGCAAGTCGCAGGCACAGCCGCAGCGGCACCAGGCTGCTGGCTCCACATGAACCTTGGAGCAGAAAAACAACTGAATCATCCCGAGGATTCTCCAAGCCAAGGCATTTTGAGGCCAATCAAAAAAAACCTTCGGGGGGAGGGGGGGAGGGTTTCTATGACAACCAGCTTTAATGATCTACAATAAGCAGGGGACTACACCCTCCAACTCGTCCACAAGGACAGCCGAGAAAGGCGCAAGCTCTCAGCTCTGAGAATTCCTTTCCATCCCTGGAGCCTGGAGATTATTAGAAGAATGCTGGGGAGAGAATCCCACAGGAGAAATGTTCTAGAGCTGTCAGGAATATCTCAGAAAAGGCATCTTGCTTGACTAGCATGCCACCAAACCACTTCCCCAGGGACCTGAACATTGTCTTTGGAGAAGGCCCTTCAAACGGAGCCCCGTCTGAGGCAAATCACCTCCGCCCTGCTTCACTGCCACAGGGCAACCCCAGGGGGAGGCCAGCTTTGCAAACCCAAGCCCTGAGCTCTGCCTCCTGCCTCTGAAAGGACTAGCCTCTGGCTGTGTCACCTCTGTCCCCCCAAGTCAGGCCCATGCCACCTTGAGAATCAGTGAAGAGTAAATATTAAAACGAGATGATGGAAACAGCTGGCCTGGCCCGAAATCAAGGAAGGTTAGCCTCCCTGTAGTCTACCTGGCAAAGACCTGGATGTGAATAGCTCTTATTTTATGGAAGAGTGAGAGGCCAGGTGAGTGGCACCGGGCCTAAGGGCGGGAAGAAGGCTGCACTGAGCTGAGGTGTCTCTGCCCCGCCCCCCACCCCATGCCTTGGTCCTTCTTTACGCCACCCCCGCCTGACTCCTCTCTTCCTGGGGCCTCTAGAAAGCACGGTCTGTCACCCTTTTCCCTAAAGGATTGTTCTCTTCACAAGGAAGGAAATGTCCTGGCCTTATCAGACATCCGGCTTGAGGCCGAAGCACTGGCTGCAGTGAAAATTTACCCCAAACATGGAGGCTGGAAGGTTATACTGAGGTCACTTTAGCCATCCCCCACCCGCCTCTGGCCGCGGGTGTGTGTGCCCCAGGCTGGGACAGACTCCAGGGACCCACCCAGAAGTACATCAAGGCTGAAATCCTGCAGCCCCACGTCTCACGCCTCACCTGGCACGCCTGCTCTCTCTCTCGCTGAGATGCTTTAAGGCCAAGAACATGCACACAGGGGACCCATTTCTCCTCCACTGCTCAGCACTTTCCTGCCCTGGGCTGCAGGCTGCGTGCCTGTGCTTGGCTGCTCTGGAGCGCAGTAGGAACTCAATAAATATTACATCTACCACGTCCTGGGCACTTGCTGGGGGCACACACACTGGGTTAAGATGTTATATGATTGTGTCACTTTCTCCTCGCAACAACTGTATGAGCTTTGCCTATTATCAGCACCAGTTTCCGGATGAGCACACTGAGGCTCCATGGGGTCAGGAATGAGCCTCAACATCCCTTTCCCATGGCCTCCAGCCCTGTGAAAACGGCCTAGCAAGTGGCAGAGACTTCAGGCCACAGGTGAGGCAGAGGTGCTGGAGGGCATGATATGGGGATAGCCCCCCAGGGTCAAGGAAAGCCACAAGCAAGCTGCAACTGCCTCCAGAGCCACATTCACACGGAAGTGGGAATGTTGGGGCGGGGGGGGGGGCTGTGTGACAGCCACAGGGACGCAAGGGAGGCAGAAATTATCAGCCCTGAGCACAGTCAGCAAGATGGCTACTGTGTGCCAGAAGTGATCCCGTGCCCCCTTTGTCCTGATACAGGAAAACAGGACATCAAACCTCCAATAACTGCACCCTGGAAAGTGTTGGCTCAAGCATCCCCTCCGCCAGGGAGGCCCTTGGGATGCTCCACGGTGTCAGCCATATTTTCACTGATAATATACAGCTTTGTTTTTCATGACCCTGGGGTTGCTTTCCAGAGGACTGAATCCCGTTCTTGCTCACGGTGGAGAAGACACGGCGAGGCATCGGCAGTGAGAGCAGCAGCCACTCCAGGAAAAAGGCCCAGGGGGTCAGGACCTGGGGGCTGGTGGCAGATGGAGCTGGAAGGAGGGGACAGTCGAGGGGACGCGGCTGGCATCAGCTCCCTGAGACACCTGAAGCCATGCTCAGAGATGGCACACAGGGTCCAGTGATGGCCTGCACCGAGGCGACACCGCAGGGCTAGAGCAAGCACCACGACTCCAGCTCAAAGGCCCTCGGGCCCCTTTCTCCCCTGGGCCAACTCAGCCGCTGGTCATGATGGTGTGTTTCTGTGCTGAGGATCTGGAAGCCACAGCTGCACTCAGTTAATAATGTCGGCCAGGTGGGGTGGGGGCACCAACCACGCCCTAGTTCAACCCCCATTTCACACCCAAGGAGACAAGGCCGAGGGAAGCATCTGCCCACCAGCTCCTGTCTCGTCAGGGGCAGACCCACCCCTAAGCCTTCCCTCTCCCTTGCACAAACCCACACAGCTATCACGGGGGTGGTGGTGCATAAAGCCCTAGCTCACCTGGAACCGATGCACCAGCTCCAGGGACTGGCTGTCATTCTGGTCGGCTTCGAGGATGACATCGGTCAGCTTGTGAATGATGACGTCCAGGGGGCCCTGCTCCTCGATCGGACGGCTGAGGTTCAGCTGCGAGGGGGGACACGGAGAAAAAGGACAGTTTCAGCACCAGAGCCCACTACCTCCATCCTATCCCTGCATCCTCCCACACACCCATCCCACAGCCCCCGAGACACGCATGGGAACGCAGACCCAAAAAGCTTCCAGATTCTCTAAGACCCCATCACGTGTCTCCTAACTCTTCGAGGGCAGCCCCAGGTTTCTAATTCTGTTCCCCAAAACCCATGCTCCCCAGGACGCAGAAGACACACAAATGAAATCAAGGAGACAAAGTGTCTACAGGTAATGTGAGTGTCACCTGTGAAAGCACTTTATAGAGAAAGCATTCCTTGAACACGGCCCATCTGCCCAACAACCTAGATCTTTCAGGAAAGGCAGCTAGGGCTCAGAGATGTAAAACATCACACTAAAATCACACAGCCTGACTGAACTGAGACCTGCCCGATTCCAAAGTCAGTACTCATTCCACAAAACCACATAAAGTCTGGGACAAGCTGTGAGCTTCCCGGACCCCAGAGCCAGTGAAGGGAGAAACCAGCAGCCTGAACGCCACACTGAAATCTGGGCTTATCCCGACCGTGAAGCAGACAGGCTGCCTGTAATCTGTAAACTCTGCTCAACCTGCTCCACCGGGGGATGTGTTTGTTTTTTCAAGAGCATGGGGTTAGGAAGATCAGACCCCAGGGAAGCCAGCAGCCACCGGCTGACAAACAGCATCACCTGACCCCAAAACAGGAGCACCTGCCAGCAGCCAGAGCAGCCGAACACTGACCTTCCCAACCCACCAGATGTCTGCCCCAGCACGTGGCCACCACCACCTGCAGAGCGAGTCCCTCGAGGCAGTGACACCAACCTAGTACCTGGCTGACCCCACCACCCCATGGCCTCAGCAGAGGCTAGAGCAGGCTACGAGCCCCACCCCCACCCCCAAGTGGGGCTCCCGCCAGGATTCGTGGCTGACTTTTTCAAAGTTGTTAGTAAAGAAATCACAATGACAGCTCCAAGTATCCACTCTAAGCAGGCACCGTGCTAAAAGCGCATCCACATTTGTTTCATTTTCCAACCACGCTGTGAGAAACCCGTTTACAACTGAGGAAAGAGAACGGAGAGTCTAAAAGCCTGCCTAAGATCTCCCAGTGTGACAGCAGTGAACTACGGTGCAGACCCAGATCTGAAGCAGTGCTTGTCATTCGGTCTCATACCCCCTTCTGGCCCCCTCCATTCTTCGGGAGCCTGCTTTGTGCCCTGAGGTCGTCTCCTAGAGCCTTGTCCACCTAGGCCCTCATCCCCTGGCTTCTGGCTGAGTCTGGCTGATTGGAGGCATGGGCAGAAGATGGGGGAGAGAGGCTGGGGTATTTCTTCCCACCATCCTCACAGCCCCGCCCACTGCCACATTCCTGGCAGCAGCCACAGCCCCTGTCGGGCGGGGCAGGCCCTCAACCCAGCACTCCTCTGTCCTGTGGTCCCCTCAGGCCTGGGGGGTGACAGCTTGCCATCTTGCTAGTGCTGGATGTACCTGTACATCTTGTCAGTTCTTTTGGCCCTGGTCACACTTGTAATTGTCCCTTATTAAACTCTCTTCCACTTACACCTTTGGGATGTGCCCAGCTCTTTCCTGCCGGGCTGCTGGTACCCTTAACTCCTGTTTTTCATCACCTGCCAGGAAAGATGTTAAGGGATTTCCTCTATTTAATAAAAATCCCCTAGATCTCACAATAAGAACATACTGAAGAAACCCAGAGTGGAGAATGGGAAAGTGCTGAAACATCATGGGGTTGGCAACCAATGTCATAAAAACAATTTCTGTATTAACTGTTTAATGAGAAACTAATTTGCTCTGTAAACTTTCACCTAAAGCACAATTTAAAAAAAAATCTAATTAAAAAAAAGAACACACTAAAGAATACTCCTCATGCCCCGTGGTGACGGGCCTGTGCACAAAACAATGAAAAACGGACCAGTTGAAAGCTGATGGTGTTTACTGGGTTAGGAACGTGAAGGGGGCTCATGGATGAGGAGGGGGAAAGGGCACGGCCCCAGTGCTTTTTGAGAGCCAGGCGCTTGCTCATCCTCGCAGCCAGCCAAGGAGCTAGTGACTTCCCCACCCTCACGGACCAGGACACCAAGACCCTAGGAAGAACAGGGCAAGGCCACACTGTCAGAGCAGCCCAGCTGGGCCTAGACCAAAGCCGCCCAATGCCTAGGTTCCCCCTCTGCCAAGCCGCCATCCCCCTGGGCCTCAGTTTCCCCTTGCATAAAAACAGGACACTGCAGGGGTCTTTCTGTTCCACTGTGGATTCCACATTATGATCCCACCCAACCCCCATTCCAAAAAACAGAATCTGAAAGAAGGTAGGGAAGCTGCTGGAAAGTAGTAACTTGGGCAAGGAACAGCTGACTCTCAAAAGGTGCCCTGGACACAACCCATTTTTCTTTTAACTTGTGGCTCCACAGGTACCATAAAGGAGAGGCCAATATCAGATCAAGACTGCCACAGAGGAGAGAGAATGAGGTCACACGGTGGTGCCAGGCAACACGCCCCAGGGCTGTCAGAACTGCCCCCACCTCCATGCACACCTCCAAAGAGAAGCTTCCAGCTCTCCTAAGCAGCATGGGGAGAGGGACAGACACCAGCCAGAGTGGGATCCCACAGACTCGGGGGGTGGGGTGGGCAGAGGAGGCCCGCGGTTCTGTCCTCACCTGGCATCAGCCTGTGGACCTGACAACCGAGGCTGTTTGGAAAATAAGCTCTCTGTGTTCCCAGTCACTCTGCTGAAGGTAAACAGTTGAGCTCTGGAAGCCGGCCACCTTCCTTTGTGTATTTTCCAAGCATTTTTATTCCAGTAAAACCCTTTCACGAGAATAGTAACTTGGGACACACATCGGCCTGGTCTGGTCTCCGGCACGGCCAGCTCTCCCAATGTCCCTGTGGCCTAAGTGGAGCTGTCGGTGGCTCAAAGGGCTCTTTCAGCACCCACTTCTCCTCAAGTAAATGGCCAGACACTGCCGTGATTGCCCTTAAACTGCCCCGTGCCTCAGTTTCCCCATTTGTAACACAAGGATGTTATTAACTGTCAGAATTGACTCGACAGTGACTGGACTGGACTGGATGCCTTACAGGGCTGTGACATGAACTAGAAGATTCCGTTTACAGACGTGCATAGTGGGTGTTTAACAGGACAATGTGCCACTTAATTTCACAGGTATTTCCTGAGCGCCTGTGTGCCAGGCATAGCTTGGGGGGGGGGAGCACAGAAGTGAGTGGACAGAGCCTACCCTGTCCTCTCAGAACTTCCTGTCTGTCTTTTGATCTTCTGGGCTCACTCTGGAAGCAAACTTGGGTGACTGAACCCCACATGCATCTCCAAGTCCTATTAGGTGAGATGGCGCTTCTTTGCCTAACCCTGCAAAGTCTCCCCACTCCCCACGTCCCTTCGTCCAGAGTGACCTCTTACTCACTTTCCAAGTCCCAGCTCACAAGCTCACTCCTTCCTTGGGCTTCTCAGCTCACGCCACGCAAGCAGGATGCACCAATGGCCCCTCGCCTCACCTAGATCCCCAGAACCCTCTGCACACCCTCTAGGATTGTGGTGTAACTTTTAATTATAAAGCTATTTCTGAATTCTCTGTCTCTTCAACAGGACTGTGAGATCCCCAAAGACAAAGACAGAGGCTTGCCATCCCCAGGGCCTAGAACTCGGGGTAAGCCCTTGGTAAATATCTGCTAAATACAACTAGGAGGCTTAAAGTAAATGAGAACAACGCAGATCAACGGGTAGGAGAGTTTGAGGAAGTGGGTGACTCCTCCCTGACAGGAAATGGCATTCTGGGGGAGGGGATGTCCAGGCCAAGTAGTAAAGGAGGGAGAGGGAAGACTTAGACCTTGCTCTGGATTGAACTGTGTCCCCCCAAAAGATAGTAAGGTGAAATCCTAATCCCCGTACCTGTGAGTGTGACCTTGTTTGGAGATAGGGTCTTTGAAGATATCAGTTATCATGAGGTCATGCTGGAGTAGGGTGGGTCCTAATCCTATAAGATTGATGTCCTTAATACAATCAAACACTTTAAGGGACAGAGTAGCAGGGGCGGGGGTCTGGGGACCATGCTTTCAGGGGACATCTAGGTCAACTGGCATAACAAAGTTTATTAATAAAATGTTCTGCATCGCAGTTTGGTGAGTGGCATCTGGGGTCTTAAAAGTTAGCGAGCAGCCATCTAAGATGCATCAATTGGTCCCAATCCACCTGGAGTAAAGGAGAATGAAGAACACCAAAGTCACAAGGAAAGTATTAGCCCAAGAGACAGAAAGGGCCACATAAACCAGAGACTAAATCAGTCTGAGACCAGAAGAACTAGATGGTGCCAGGCTACCACCAATGACCGCCCTGACAGGGAACACAACAGGAAGTCCCTGATGGAGCAGGAGAAAAGTGGGGTGCAGAACTCAAATTCTAGTAAAAAGACCAGACTTAATGTTCTGTCTGAGACTGGAGGAACCCCAGACAGCATGGCCCCCAGACTTTCTGTCAACCCAGAACTAAAACTATTCCCGAGGCCAACTCTTTAGACAAAGATTAGACTGGAATATAGGACATAAAACGATACTCATAAAGAGTGTGCTTCTTAGCTCAAGTAGATACATGAGACTAAATGGGCAGCTCCTGTCTGGAGGTGAGATGGGAAGGCAGAGAGGGTCAGGAGCTGGTTGAATGGACACGGGAAATCCGGGGTGGAAAGGAGGAGTGTGCTGTCACAGTATAGGGAGAGCAATTAGGGTCACATAACAATGTATGTATAAATTTCCATATGAGAGGCTAACGTGAATCGTAAACTTTCACTTAAAGTACAACAATTAAAAAAAAAAGGTTGATGTCCTTATAAAAGAGGAGAAGAGGCACAGAGAGACAGAGGATGCTGCAGCTACAAGCCAAGAAACCCTAGGGCTACGAGAAGCTGGGAGAGACAAGAAAGGATCTTCCCTGGAGGCCTCAGAGGGAGCATGGCCTGGC